CATCAAAACGCCCCCCCCAACAGCCCCATCCACAGTCTGGGCCCCCCCACCCACCCTCGGCTAGCTGACCTGTGGGGAGCCGTGCAGGTCGAGGGGCACCAGGTAGGAACTTGCCTGCTGATTACAGACTCTGCAAACTAGGTGACGGTTTACATTTGCAGGGGCACATGAGTGTGTGACTGCATATACAGTCACAGGCAAACAGAAAAGTCATCTCCATTTACTCATTACAGAAAGAGTGAGACAACACTGTCATCACGGCCATGCCCTCCTGTCTTATTGTGCATTTAAAGAAGGCTCATGTTTGATCCCATTTATCAGGCAAATGTCAAATGCAAAAGCAGCACAGGAGCCTTCTTTTCTTGTTTTTCATCGTACTTGACACTGATATCTGCCATTTTTTGTCTTCTGGATCTGGCTTTGTTTATACCAGCAGGATTATTTAGCACACATCTGTAGTGCAGTGAATGGTGGGAAAAACTGCCAGGGAAGTCGGCAAGGTAGGAGACAGGCTGGAAGTCTGCATGGAGCACTGCCAAAAAGGTTTGCATGACAGCCTGCAGGGGACTTGCTGAAAGACATCCTTGAATCCGTCTGGTCCTCAGATAGCATGTAATAAAGTGTGGAGGTTTACTTCTCTAGGTGTTCGGATTCGGCATATGTGTTTGCTGTTCCTGCCTAAGGTAAGTACCTGTCGGTTCTCTGTCCTGCACAGGTAAACCACGCTGCTGTGCTGGTTTCTTTCTTTGTCTCTCACCAGGAACTGAAAGTGAAGGGTTGATGTCAGCCTCTTATTAAACATGCTTTACTATGACAACTTGTTAAATCCTTTTCCACCTTAAAAAACAGAAAACAACAAGTTAATAAACCATTAAACCTGTTGCAGGTGGAGATCGTTGGGCAGGTGAGTGGACAGATGGCTGACATGGTAGTGGGAGTGGTGGACACAGTCGGAGAGGAGCCAGAGCCCGAGTCTGAAGGCATCTTTGAGCAGCATGAAGAGGAAGAGGAACTCACAAAGGTGAGTTACGTCTAGAATTCTGATTAAAATGAAGGTGATCAGACAAGCAAGATGACAAAGTTAGACAATATAAGTGAGGACACACAGGAAGAAGAGAGCCCTACTTACCTGTGACACAGCCCAAACAATCTTTTAAACACCTAGTTTCTTGTCTGTACAGGTAGAAGAGGTAACATTAACTTTGGAGCCGGAGCCGTGCTCTTTGACCCCATCTCCGCTGAGAGAGGAGGCCCCCTCGACCAGAGGCTCAAGCCCAGGTACGCAAGCACAGAGTGAAGACTACGTCACGGAGAGGATACCGTTTGATGTCATGCCCTGTGTCGTCCAGTTGCTGGAAGAGAAGGACGAAGAGGCGGAGGAGGGCTCTATTGTTGTTGTTGCAACCAACTGAAATCATAGTCACACAAAGACAGGAAATAAATACTCCAATAATCAATCAAGCTATTATCCCAACCTGTCCCCTCTCAACTATTTACCCACTTTGAGTCGGGGAAACAGGAAAAGACCTTTGGATGGAAAAGGTGGGCTGTAATGTACACACGACAAGAAGCCCCATTAGCTACTGCGGGAAATGTGGAATATCTGACAATGAACAGATGAAAACTGAGGTAGTTGAGGGACTTAATTCAGTGACTTCTAAAACAAAATGGATTAACAAAAGGTTTGAACCAAGTGGACCAAAGAGCCAGGACTGGAGGCTGAACAGGGGACAAATGGAAGAAGGTAGGACAAGAAGAAGAAAGGGCCTAGTTAACAATGAATTTGCAATACCACAAACAAACAAAACCTGATTTGGGTGAAACAGTATTTGCAAATAATTCTGAGTGCACCAGAAGCAGGCACGTGTCACAGTAGAAAAAAAATCCTACAGGACCAGAACATCTCCCTAGTCAGAGAGACTTGGTTTTGCTTTGACTGCCAGCTAGACTGAGCCCTACCTGACGTGCTCTGATGCAGTAACCCGGTCCAAGCTGATGCTCAAAACAACCTGTGGTATACGCTCGGAGTTATTTGCAAACATGATCTGGACACAACCAAAAGAAAGTGCATGCTTTTTAACAGTGACCTAGCCCTAACAGTATAACACAGTATACAAAGTAATAATATATCAAATTGCTTTTTATAATCCATCCATCCATCCATTTTCCTCCGCTTATCCGGGACCGGGTCATGGGGGCAGCAGTCTAAGCAAAGATGCCCAGACTTCCCTCTCTCCAGACACTTCCTCCAGCTCCTCCGGGGGAATGCC